ACAGTAGAATTGTGGTTGCTTGGGGCTTAGGGTAGGGAAAATGGAGAATTGTCATTTAAATGGGTTTCAGTTTTGCAAGATGAGAAAGTTTTAGAGATATGTTGCGCAATAATGGGAACATAGTTAACACTACTAAACTGGATGGTAACAAATGGTTAAAATGGCAGATTTTATGTTACGTGTTTTTTTTTTTTTTTTTTTGGCCACAATTAAAAAAAAATGCTACCTATGTGCAAAGCAGTATGCTAACTGCTGCAGATCTAACAGTAAGCAATGAAGACGTAGACCCTGGCCTCATGGTTGCCTCTTTAGTTGAGAAGACAGAGTGAAAAAACTAATTGCCCATTTATGAAATTTTGATTACTGCTCTATAGGAAAAAGTCAGGACACTAACAGTAAGACTCTTCTTAGAAGGGAATGTTGCCTAAGCAGAGACCTAAAGTGTGAGTGAACTTAGGGCCCTGCGTCTGCACCTCCCATGTTCCGTCACCCAGCCTGAGGCAGGAGCAGCTGTCTGCTTGAAAATTGGAAAGAAGCCTGCTGCGGTTAGTGCGGGGAGGATGAGATTAGGTTAGGGGAGGGCCGAGTGTTATAACAGGGGTCAGATCACATGGGGCCATCTAGGCTATATATTAAAGCTTGGGTAATTTAGTTTTTTCTAAGAAAAATGGTCAGCCATTGATGGGCTGAAGCAAGGATGTGAGATGACCAGTTTGGCTTTTAAAAAGGTCACTTTGGCTGATAGTAGGAAAGGGATGAGAAGGGACTTGAACAGGGATGCTCACCCAAAGCACAAAGGTAGCTTTGGTTAAGGTTGTGACAGTGTAAGTAAAAAAGTAAATAAGAGAGACATAGGAAGGAGGCAGAATCAATCTGATGACTGACTGGATATGAGGGAGAGATGGCAGATACCAAGAGTAAGTAAAGCCTGGTTTCTGGATACATGGATGTGTTCAGTGAGGACAGAAGGAGGACTTTATGGGAGGGGGAAGGGGATATCATGAGTATAGTTTCAGACATGTTAAATGTTAGGTCAAATAACTTCTGGAAAGAACAAGTAAACAAATGAATTTAATATTAGATGTGTCTTAAAGAATGGCAGCTAGCATGGAAAATTCTCCAGGTATAATCCATCTCAGTGGTACATAGTGCAAGAGGTGGTTTTCTTTCTTGATGTGGAATATCATAATATGTGTTGAGTTGAGGCTTGTAACCAGGCATACTTATTTATAACTTACCTCTTTTTAAAAGAATCAGAGGTGGCTTTTACGGCAAAAATATTCCAAGTAGAAATGGCTGTTAATAGCTGATCATTCTGGGATTCTTACTATGCAGCAGGCATAGTTCTTAGCACCTTTTACATATTGTCTCATAGAGTTTTCAGAATAAGCCTGCAAGGTAGAAATTGTCAGCTACATTTTATAAACGTAGAAATTTGAAGCACAGAGAAGTTAAATAATTAACCCAGGGTCCTCAGGGCAATAAATGTTGGAGATAAGGTTCAAATCCAGGCAAAACTGGTAGAAAAAAATAGACTTTAGATTTTAGGGAAAATGCAACACTTTTGAACTTTCTGTGAGTCAAGGTAAAAATGGGCACACTGTTTCATAGCTATCATAACTTGAAAAGTGGAAGTATACTGTCTTTCCTCAGAGGAATTTTTCATGTTATCAAATTCTGAAATTCATCTTGCAAGACTTTACATGTAGGGTGTAGAAGGATGTTGTGGGCTGAGTTCCTAGTATGAGTTTCACAGTTGATGTTTCTATTATGGCACAAATAAATTTCGGGGCATGAGCTAACTTACTGATGGTGATTCTGTGACAGTCCGTGCCAGTGCTGCTCAAAAGGGACTCTTCCTTTGTGTCATAATCACTTGAGAGACAGATTTTTAATTAGGAATCTTACTTATCTCTCTCCTACCTCCATTCTTCCCAAACACATACACTCCCACACCCAAAGGCACAAATACACGTTACTGCTCATATTTCCTGGGCATGCCATGATTCCTCCCTTCCCAGTTAAAAAAAATAGTACCATCACTATTTAATTTGCATATGTGATGTTGAAGGATGTTATGGGCTATGTTACCAGAAGGGATGTGGGATTTCATATCCCGCAGAAAACAGATTTGGTCAGGCTAATATTATCAAGCGTATAACCTTCCAGTAATCTAACTCAATTCAGTGATAGAGCATAATATACCCTCTCCTAAATACCAGCAGGATAATTATTAGAGACTACACAGGAGATACTTTTAAGTTTTATGCCTGACAAGGACCTTGTGGTATGAATATTTTATATTGTTATATAAAGGAAGAGCTATAAATTTGGGAAGTCAGATGAGCAGTTTAGTGTTGACATTCCATTATAGCCACTGAGAATTATGACCAATATTCTGGATGTGAGCAGGGAAGGGACATTCTGCCAGAAGAGAAGCAGTGGCTCCAGCGTGGACAATCAAGATGTGCAGAGATATTTCAAGCTGTCAGACAGGGCTGGAGTTGGGGGAAGTTCTGACATCTCCATGTAGGAAAGACCTATGAGCCGCAGGCCTGTTGGAAGGAGGGGTTGGAGACTGGTCTTAAAACTGTGTTTTCTCAACAAGTGCTCTGTTTCAGCTGGGATCATGGGTTGGTTTAGGGTGACTCTGGGGGGAGTGCTGATGGGAAAGCAACTGGAAAGATAGGCAAAGATCATTTTTTGGAAGACCTTGTATCTCATGCTAAGAAATCTAGATTTTAAATAGGAAGCAATGTGGTCATATTTGCATTTCAGAAAGAATCCATTCTTGGTATCGAGAAAGATGATGTGGGGGGCTGAGACCAGAGACAGGGAGGTCAGGAGGCTATTGTAGTCATCTAGCCCAGAGGAGAGGAATACTAGGGCATCGGTATCAGGGATGAAGGGAAAGAGACAGGTGCTGTGTAGGTGATATCTGCAGGGCTTTATGACTGATCAGCTCTGAGGTATGAGGGTGAGGGAGGGGTTGAGGATAAGTTCCAGGTGTCAGGGTTGGGTAGCTGGGGAGTTCGTTGGACATTTACCTAGGGACCTTGGAGGAGGAGCAGCAGTTTGGGATAGGTTAGTCAGCAGAGAGCGAATTTAATTTTCATTTTGCCAACTTGGACATGTTTGTAGGCTGTTGGCTATGTGATGTTTGGGAATCAGGGAGTAGGTGAAGGCTGAAGAAAATGAATGGCAAAGAATTTGAGTGTTAGTGTAGACTATCATTTAAAGAAG